TTGCAAAAAAACAACTTTATTAGAAATTTTAATATATATGAGTAGTCTATGTTCCTGCTCCAGTGTTTACTGCTTATTCTCTAGATGTGCTGCATTACCGATTATCCTGAGATTTCCGCTGCCAGTGGGACTTCATTGCCTTTTCTTCTGTGTTAGATTGCATATTTCTTAGCTCCTGTGTTTTCCTCTTGCTTGCTTTACTTCCTTGTTTTGGTGGAGTATATCCTCAAGATAGCTTTTTGTGAAAAAGTTTTTTGTTTGTTACGAGTTTCTAGTCCTTCATTGGGCTAGGTAGGCAGTGAACCCTTTCAATATGGTTATTTATGTCTCTCAGGTCTTGAAAATGTTCTTGATGATTTCTTTTCCATTTGTTTCCCTCTTTTTCTAGAACTCTGTTTTATGTTGGGTTAATAGGGCATAAATTAACCAAGTAAAGGGACCTCGCAGGATCATTTATGGTGTTGAGCCATTGGCCAGGGAATGTGATTAGCTGAACCCTTTGCACTTCAGGAATGAGAGAGAGAGAGGGATGGTGGGAGAAATCAAAATAGGCAGGGAGGGCCTACAAAACAGGGAAAACAACTTAAACAAAAGTATGGAGGAAGGAATAATCATAGCATATGCAGGAGGTGATCCTAACTCGAGCAGCAATGATACCTGTTAGGGAGTTGTGGGAAATGCTGTTTAGGGAGCCTAGATGAGAGAGATTTGTGAAAGCCAGGCAAGAGAGTGAAATTTGATGACATGGGAAATTGAGTTACTGATGAGTATTTAATACTGGTGAGTAAGGATGGTTGACCTGGTAATGGTGAGCAAAAGGATTTGGTGAGATGAGAAACTAGAAGTTGGGAGAATCACTAGAAGATTGTTTTAATAAGTCAGATCTGAGGGTGGTAAGTAGAAGGAAAAGGAAAAATCAGCAGGATATAGTGACTAGACACTGGTGATGAAGTGAGTTAGCTTGACTAATGACTTTCTTCATCCTTGGTGTTTTAGCTGTACATGCTGCATTGTCAGCTGACGTGGAGCCCATTTTCTTAAGCATGAGTAAAAGCTACTGCTAACGATGATGAGGGCTTGCTTTTCTCAGTGCTAATGACAGGACTAAATATAGGACTGGTTGCTTTTGCTGTCATCTTACATAAGTGCTTGTAATATATATTTGCCTATGTTCCATCAGTGTTGCTTCCTGTTGGGGAATGCAAATGCAAAGTAGCAGTTTGTGTGAATTATTATATATCTCTTGATAGGTTACTTTGACAAGCTTATCAGCTATTTATCATCCTGCTATAGGCAGGGAAATGGAAATATATTGTTTCTTCTAATTTGGTACCTCGTTTTTTAGAAAGCAAATTGACACAAAATGTTAATCCCTTTTAATTAACAAATTGACATAACTTCTTTGGAAGGACTCAGCTGTTTTTTAGTTATATTGTTAAATTCATTTTCTTCTTGCAAATCTTTTTTTTTCCTTTTTATCATAATAACCCACAGAGAATTTTTCATCTTTGAACTCTTTCCTCATTCTGCCTCTCAGACATTGTTTTCCCAGGTGATTTGTTGAGAAATTAGTATCTGTTCCTTCTTTTAATATGGGTTCCAATTTTTAATCTTCAATTCTCTGAAGATGAAAAGGTGGAAAATTATGATAATTTTTAAAATCATAAGCTAGGAAACTTTTTGTAGCACAGCAGCAATTGGAGGGAAATATTCGAACCATTTCTAAATACAGTTGCCTGCAGCTCACCATCTGCTTGGTATTTCTGTGACTGCGAGTGCCCTCTTATGGTGACACAAAAATACTTCAGGAAGTGCTAGAATCTGTGGAAGGTTCAGTTCTACTCTGTCCTATAGGGTCGCTGTGAATCCGCTTGATGGCAACGGGTTGGTTTGTGTGATCCCAAGCCTAAATCTAGCGCATTGATAGTTCTATTCCATGTTCATGTAGCACTTGCTGCCTACAACTTTAGGAGGAGTTGAGAGCTGCCCCTCTGTATTAGTTTCTTTTGGCTGCTGTAACAAACTGTCACAAACTGGATGGCTTAAGACAACAGTAATTTATTGTCTTATAGTTCTGGAGGCTAGAAATATGAAATTAAGGTATCTTCAGGGCCATGCTCCCTTCAAGGGCTCTGGGGGGGAATCCTTCCTTACCTGTTTTAGTTTCTGGTGGTTGTTGGCAATCCTTGGTATTCCTTGGTTTAGGGCAGCATAACTCCAGTCTCTGCCTCCATCTTCATATGGCTGTCTTCCTTCTGTGTGTGTCTGTCAATTTCCCTCTTTTAATAAGGATACCAGTCATATTGGACTTAGAATCCATGTTACTTCAGTATGATCTCATCTTAACTTGATTACATCTACAAAAGATCTGTTTCCAAATAAGGTCACATTCTAAGGTTCTAGGTGGATGTGGATTTTTGGAGAATACTATTCAACCTAATACACCAAACAAAAATAGTCTGCTAGGAAATTTTATTTGTTCTAGGTGGAACGACCTCCTTCTCCATTCTCCACGGCCCCACAAGCTTCCCTTCCCCCAGTGCCACCACGACTTGATCTTCTGCAACAGCGAGTATCTATTCCTTCAAGTGCTTCTGGTCCTGGAACTGCTTCAAAGGTAAAGCATTATCCATTTATACAGTTTCCTGATTCTTTGTTGTGGATTACTAGGTTTTAATTTGCTTCCATCATGCTTCCACAGGCTGCTTCTGGCTCCCTTCATAAGGACAAACCATTACCAATACCTCCCACACTTCGAGATCTTCCACCACCACCCCCTCCAGACCGGCCATATTCCGTTGGAGCAGAAACCCGACCTCAGAGACGCCCTCTGCCTTGTACACCAGGCGATTGTCCCTCCAGGGATAAACTGCCCCCTGTTCCCTCTAACCGCCTTGGAGAATCATGGCTGCCCCGGCCAATCCCCAAAGTACCAGTAGGTTCCTTAAGCCCTGGTGACCCCTGGGCAGGAAGAGAATTAACTAACCGGCACTCACTTCCATTTTCATTGCCCTCACAATTGGAACCCAGACCAGATGTGCCTAGGCACGGAAGCACATTCAGTCTGGATACCTCCATGGTGAGTCCTAATTTTGGAATTATCTCTGCTGTTAACAATCGTTCGTGGGTGGCATTTCATGGGCCAAGGTTTTGTGATAGATTTTGTACAGAATCCAGAGATAATACGATATAATCCCTGCCTTCAAGAAGTATATATGCTAATAGAGCAGATAAAGCATGTTTGTATATTATAATAAAGGTCTTTTATGTATCAGTAAATGCCATGAGTAGTAGAAATAGCAAATGCTTAAGTTTTAGAGGAAGGAGAGGTTATCTCCAGATTGATCAATTTTGAGAGTTTATAGAAAGAGTGACATCTAAAGTACTTTGGGAAATGGATACAGTTTTAAGATAAATCAGAGTTACAATGGCAGAAATGTTTAAGATGTATTGTAGACTGATGATACCTCTTAGTTTGAGTAGAGCAGAAATTTTGTGTATCAAAGTAGGAGAAAGGACTGAAAAGGAAGATTAACACTAGATTAGAGGGGTTTAATACCCCCTCTGAAGAGAATTTGAATTTATCTGGTTAGGAAATGAGGAGCATTTGAAGGTTTTAAATTTGGAATGATATGACCAAAATGATGCTTTAAAGAGATTAATCTAGTAGCAGTGTGCAGGAAGGAGTCCCTGGGTATTGCAAACGGTTTGGTGCTCGACTACTAGCCAAAAGGTCGGTGGTTCTAACCCACCCATAGGTACCTCAGAAGACAGGCTTGACAGTCTGCCTCCAAAAAGTCACACACAGCCTTGGAAAACCCTATGGAGAAGTTCCACTCCACACACATTGCATCGCCATGAGTCAGAATTGACTCGATGGCAACTAACAACAACAAAGTATGCCAGATACCTTGGAAGGGAATAGATGGAAAAAGACAGGTTAGTGGTCCATTCTCTATGAGATGAGGGGCTCAGAACTGGGGGTGCGAGGGGTATATTAATTCTTTTGTTGGTTTGTTTATGCACACAACAAGAAATCTTGCCCTCACAGAGTTTACATTCTAGGTAGGGGGAAGATGGAAAATAAATAAGTAAAACGTATGGTATGTGGGACAATGATGAATTCTGTGGAGAAGAATAAAGAAGGGGGATAGGGAGAGCTGGAGTTGGGGTGGGAGGTGCATGGAGGAATGGGGTAAGGTTCTGAGCAGAGACCTGAAGCAGCAGGGAGAGTGAGCCATGCTGGTTCTTAGGGAAGACCAGTCCAGAATGAAGGAGAGCAAGTGAGTTGGGGAGAGTCTATTTGAGGAATAATAAAGGGGGTTAGTATAGCTGGTGCTGAATGAGCAAGAGGGAGAGTGATTTTCTGTTAGCAGAAGTGGGCAGCCAGATTAGGTAGAGCCTTTAGAGAGCATGAAACAAGGACCTAAGAAGACCTGAAAGCAGTAAATGGATTGGGGAGGAGGGGGATGAGAAGTTATGAAGAATATCTGAGGTTTTGAATCTAGCTAACTAGGGACATTTGAACTTGAGATGAGATTGGGATATTGAAGGAAGAATTGGCCAGTAGGTAGTTGGAAATCTAAGAAAGAGATGAAACTGGAAGGGTGAAGTTAAGGAATGTTGTGGTCTTTCAATGAACTGCCTGTTTCTTGGTTGCAGGGAAAGAGAGTGTAACTAACATTTAAGTGGTGTCTTTGTGATAGGCAGTCTAGTGAGAGTGGATTAAGTTTGACCTTCTGGTTGCATCAGTGTAGAAAGAGCATTTTGGGTTTGGATATAGATTATTTAAACTAGAAATGGTGTTTGTGTAGACAGCCAATTTACTCAAATCCTTTTGGAATTAAAAAGCAAACAAAAAACCATTTTCCCAGCTCTTTTTAGGTCTCTGTCTCCTTAACCCGTACATTTGAACTTTCTTCAGAGCCTGAAGGCTATGATGCTTTGTCAGTTGTAATAACCTAGGCATGGCATTGAATGTAAGGTCTGTGTCTATATTATTGTTCTTGTTATTTTGAATAATGTTAAGTAAGTAAGTAGAGAAACCTAGCTGTGGTAAGGAGATTCTTTTTTCAGTGCTTTTCTTTTCTCTCCAGAGTATGAATAGCAGCCCGTTAGTAGGTCTAGAGTGTGAGCACCCCAAAATCAAGCCTTCCTCGTCTGCCAATGCCATTTATTCTCTTGCATCCAGGTAAGTTCACTAAAAGCTGTATTTCACACTGTGTAGTTGGTACTTTTAAACAGCTTGTTTATAGAAAGTTTAGAAAACCCAGAGGAATATACAGAAGAAAATAAAAACTGATCTGTAATAACACCATGTAGAAATTACCTATCATGTTTTCTATTTTAGGATATTCCCTTCCATTCTTTTTTCTATGTATATGTATATGGATCAGTCTTGCTGGAGTGCTTCTCCATTTTATTAATCTTTTCAAAGAAGCAGTTTTGGTTTTGTTTTTATTCTTATTGGGCATATGCTTTTTATTTCATTCATTTTTCTGCTCTTTATTTTATTCTTCCAACTTTCTTTAGGTTTAATTTGTTGTTCTCTGTAGTTTCATGAGATAAGTGCTTTAGTTACATTCACAAATTTCGATTTATTTTTGTTAAAAAAAAAAAAAAAAACTTTTCCATTTGTGATTTCTTCTGTGATTCATGAGTTATTTATGTGTTGTTTGATTTTCAAGCATTGGTAGATTTTCTGGTTATCCTTTTATTATTGCTTCCCAGCTTCATTCCAGAGTGGTCAGAAACCAGGCTCTACTCTTTGACATTTGTTGAGACCTTCTTCATGGACTAGCTTATGGTAAATTTCGGTATTATGTACCATAATCATTTCATAAGAAGGTGTATTCTGCTGTTGTTGGATATAGCGTTCTATATATGCCAGTGAAGTCAAGTTTGTTAATTGTGTTCAAATTTTCTATTTCCCTACTGATTTTTTTATCTACTTGTTCTGTCAGTTACTGAGGGGAGTGTGTTAATTCTCCAATAATTGTGGGTTTTTTTGTTTTTGTTCCGTCCATTTGTGTCGTATATATGTTTAGCCTATGTAATCAAGGTACATAGAAATTTAGGATTATTGATACTAAATGGTATGTCTCTTATAAGCAGCATATACTTTTCTTTTTTTCTTCCTTAAGTCCAGTTTGGCATTCTTTGTCTTATAATCGTTCGAGTACTTGGTCCTACCATTTTCCCCAGTTCATTTTTTTCTCCTTTCTTGCCTTCTTTTGGATTAAAGAGCTAAGTTTTTTATGTATGTTACTGATTCTAATTATCCTAAAGATTCCGTCCAGTATGCATCCTTGACTTACTGGAGTCTACCTTAAATCAGTGCCCCTTAACACTTCCTGGACTTTTAAATTTTCCTCATATTTATCTTCTTTAGTGCTCCGCATTCTTCCTGCTTTGCCGTGTCTTCACATGGAATTATTTTCCTTCTGCCAGAAGAAATTCTTTTAGTGTGTGTGTTTATGTGTCTCTTAGTGTATTTGTTATCAATGGATTCTCTTAATTTTTATTTGAAAGGAAGTATCTTTATTTCAATTTTTTAAAGGATATTTTCACTGGCTATAGTGGCTATAATGTTCTGAACTGGAGTTGTTTTTCTTTTAGCACTTTACAAATATCATTCCACTGTCTTCTGGCTTCCATTGTTTCTGTTTAGACGTTAACTGTTAATTATGTGCCTCCAAAGATAATGTCTCTTTTTCTGGCTACTTCATGACCTGTTTGTGTTTGGTTACTAGCAGTTCTTCTGAAATGTTCCTAGGTAGTTTTCTTTGTATTTATCCCTCTTGAGGTTTGTAGAGTTTATTGAATTTGTGAATTGATGCTCTTAATCAGTTTTAGAAAGTTCTCAGCCAGTATTCTTGAAATAGTGAATAGTGCAGTCTCTTTGTCTCTTCTCCTTCTGGGACTCCAGATACCTAAATGTTAGAGCTTTATACCATGCCCCATGTGTTTTGTGCTCATTTCTCTATTTTCCATTATTCTTTCTCTTTACTTCACTCTGAATAGTTTCTACTATATTCCAATTCAGTAGTCTTCTCTTTTGCTATTTCTAACCTGCCCATAAACCCATCTATTGAGTTTTTATTTTTAGATACTGTGTTTTTAGGTTCTAGAATTTTCCTTGTGATTTTTTTAAATTAGCAATTCTAGTTCTCTAATAAAATTGTCTGTCCTCTTTTCCTTTTTTTATTGAGCATACAAATAATAGCTATTTTAAAGGCCCTATCTTATAACTCCAGTTGTTCTCCCAGCTTAGCCAGATGCCCAAAATACCTGCTTAGCTCTTCAGTGCTACTTCCTGCTTGGTTTTCAGAATCTAGCCCCAGTGCATACACAGTTTAGAAATTAGCAATACCTCGAAGGGAAATTGGAGGTAGAGTTTCAGGCTCACTTCTCTGCTGTTCCTCTAGGATTTTTGGCCCCTCACATCTTGGCTGTCATGGTACCACCAAATTCCATTCTCTCCCCAGCCCATTGAGACTGCCTCAAATCCCAAATTCAGAACTTCTGATAACTTCAGTGTATTTTCCTTCTTTCTGGAATCTTGGTCTCTCAAATCCTGGCTGCATGGTTGCTCTCCAATACCTTAATTTTATCCAGCTTTTATAGTTGTTCTAGGCAGAGGGTTAGTGATACTTCTTACTTGGCCATGGCTGTAAACATGTACAGAATGTGTGTTTATAGATCAAAAAATGTTTGTAATGAAATTGGATCGTATGTGTAATTTCATATCCTTTTTAAAATTTAGCATTAGATCATGAGCATTTCTCTCTATCATTTAAAAAGGTCTTCACAAATCCTCACTTCTAATGATTGCATATTATATAATATGGCTGTAACATTGCATATTCAATCATTCCCCTATTGTTGAATATTTATTGTGTTTAAAAGTTTTTACTGTAATAAATAATGCTTCGGTGAATGTCTTTCTATAGAAGCAGAGATATAGCCAAAGAATAGAATAGATTTATACAAATAGAATTACTGTGCCAGAAGAGTATAAATGCTTTTAAGGAATTTATTACCAAGATGCTTTGTGAGAAGGAAGTATAATTTTTTATATTTTTATGAACACCACCAACGAAGAGAATTATAATTTATTTCCACTTAGGGATATCTTGTACATCTTTCTGTCATTACATATTCTTCTATTACAATGATTTTCAAATGATTTTAAAGCAGTAGACCTAATTTAAATGGAACCCCTGGTATCTAAAATAAATATGAACAGACCTGCCCTTGTGGAAGTAGAAATAGGCCTCTGAGGCTCCTGCTTGGAACCTTTAAAGCACCAAGGGGCACAGTTTTATTGACATCAGGTCTATTGATGTGTGTATGCCAAAACTTATTTATGCAATACACTATTGTTTGACATTTAGGTTTTTATCCGTTTTTTCCAGTATTATAAATAATGCCATAGTGGATGTTCTTGACTGTCTTCTTAGGGAAAATTCTTAGAAATGAAATTTCTGAGTCCCAGGGTAGACATTGTGGATTTAATATTTTTGCTGAATTGCCCTCCAGAAAAATTGTACCAGTTTTCTATTTCTACAGCTGTATAGGAAAGTACCCATTTCTCTACACCTTCTTCGACACTTTTTATTTTTTTAAAATCTTTTGGGTCATTTTTTCCACTGGCATTTTACTGTGAAAAATTTCAAACATGAGGGGTGGGGCAGAGCCAAGATGGCAGACTAGTTAGATGCACTAAGCCATCTCTGCAACAAAGACCTGAAAAACCAGGTAGAACAGATGCACATGTCAATCCTGGAACCCTGGATGTTAAATGAAGGGATAAAGTATTAGATCAGAAGACACTGAGAAGAAGAAACCTACAGAAAAAGGTGAACGAGTAGAGCTACAGAGTAGAGGTTCCTGGCCAACCAGCAGGGCACAGCATGGCTATCTTGGAATAAAGCCACAACCCTGCAGGAAGAACACAGAAAGGCACTTTCATGGAATTCCCAATAGAAGATAGAGGTATAGCACAGACACACCCAGAACGTAAGTAAGACCACATTTCCTGACTGCAACTCAAGGAAGTGCCCAGATATTCTCACACAGTAACCACAGGAGCATGCTCCTGAAACCCCTACCCCTCTGGTGAATAGTGGCAAGAACCACCCCATCCTGGCAGTCCCAGCTGCCGGGGACCACAGTACGAACTCATCCTATTATCCTCCTTCATCTATCCTCATCTGCCCCTCCCTTTGCCCACCTGCTGAGCGCCGTGCCCCTGAGTGGGACCAGCATGGACCTCTGGACCCCCGGACCTCGTCCCACTCTCCCCCACCTGCCCTGCCCCACCTAGCGCCGTGCTCCTGAGCAGGACCAGCTCAGACCTCTGGAACCCTGGACTCTGCCCTGCACTGCCCCCCTTGGCCCTGCTGGCCCCAATTTGTGCTGCAGACAAATGACCCACCCTTGCCCTCTACCCTCTTGTGGACCTGCTGCACTACAGCTGAGCGACTGGCCCTGCTCAACTGGACAGGGTAGTGAGAACTATCATACCTACAGACAAACAAGCAACAACAAAACATGCCCAGCCCACCTGCCCAGACATAACCAAATAGAACAAAAAAGCAGAATGAAACAAATCTACAATCAATAAACAAAGAAAATAATACCTGAATGTCTCGGAGATAGCAGACAATGTCAAAACATATTTAGAAAACAGGACAGGATGGCTCCAGTAAGCAACCAAAAAAAGTACTAGATGACCTTCTGGTGGAAGAAAAGACACTGGAGCAACCTGATAGTTCAAAAGTCTAATATTCAGGGCTCTCCAAGAGATTAGGAAAGAGATCAATAAAAATACAGACAAAACTAAGGAAACAACAGAATCATGGAAGATACAGACAAAACCAACCAAAACATAGCCAAAATCAAGATAACACAAAGCAATGGAAGACTTCAGAAAAATAATACATGAACAAAATGTTAAAATAAATAAGCAATTAGAAATCATACAGAAACAGCAATTAAAAATTGGAAAGGTAAACAACAAAATTTCAGAAATGAACAAATGCAATAGAAGGTTTTAGGAGCAAATTTGAAACAATGGAAAAAAGAACCAGTGAAATTGAAGACGAATCCATGGATACCACTTTTGTTTGAGGAAAAATCAGAAAAGAATGAAGAAAACCTAAAAACTATGTGGGATACAATCAAGAG